ATCATAAAGTATAGAAAATGCACCACTGCAGGAAAGGTTGTGCATGTGTGGGGACAGGGAATACTTGAGAACTCTGTACTTTCCACTAATTTTGCTATGAACCTGAAAGGGCTCTAAAAAATAATGTTTATCTATAACAATAAAAGTGTAATATGCTAATTAGACCAGATATCCTTCTAGATGACCTGCTGGATGAAGCAGTGCAGCGGGAGCCAACCCCCTTGCAAGAATTTTGTGCATCAGGCCTCTAACTATAAAAAAGAGAACTGATTATGTGAACTATGATACAAAATAGAGGTTCCTGAAAGCAATATTTCCATATTTATATTATAAATAATGCAGGTATAATCTTTTTATCCACAATGAATTTTTTTTGTTTTTTTATGTAAGTAAATATGATTTCTGATAGTTTTTTATAAGAAAAAAAGGAATAATTACTTAACATTCTGACACTTCAATAGCACTATAAAAATACTTATAATATAAGTATTATAATTAAAGAAACTAGAAATACCCATCAGAAAGGATATATGCGCCCCCATGTTCATAGCAGTACATTTTACCATAGCTAAGATTTGGAAACAACATAAGTGCCCATGAGCAGATAAGTGGATTAAAAAACTGTGGTAAGTTTACAAAATGGAATACTAAAAGGAAGAATTCTTACTATTTGCAACAGCATGGATAGAACTGGAAAGAATTATGCTAAGTGAAATAAGACAGTCATAGAAAAATAAATGTCACATGATTTCACTCATTTGTGGAATACAATGAACAACATAAACTGATTAACAAAAACAGATTCAGAGACAGAAAAGCATCGATTTGACAGTCAAACCTCAGAGGGAAGGTAGTGGAGGATGGGGGTAAGGAGGAGAGATCAACCAAAGGTCTTGTATGCATGCATATAAGCATAACCAATGGACACAGACAACAGAGGGGTGATGATATGCATGGGGGGAGGGGCAATGGGGGAATAAGTACACATATGTAATACCTTAATCAATAAAGAAAAAAATTTTTAAAAAAACATGAATGAATAGCTGATTGGTATATACAAAAAAAAAGTTAGGTTATATTTTTGAGCCTTTATTTAAAAATTACTGTATATTATAGTGAAATACCAAAAGTTCAGCAGGTTTAAAAAATAAATCTATAAACCTTCAGTAAAATATGTTTAATAATAATTAATGGAAAGGATTCACAGGAGAATTATATTTGAGAAAATCTTATTTTGTTTTATAAAAACATGGCAAAAATTTTAGTAATGAGAAAAATGAATCTTTGGAAGGAAAAAAATCAATAAAATATGCTAGAATTAATCCAAATCAACAGTTCTAAAGAAAGTCTTACCTTAGTATAGGTAACTGCCATATTATATTATATCTGGTATTTCCAGGATCTATGTAATGCCATAAAGGAATACAAGATGTAAACACTCGCTGTATAAGAAGTGGTGCCAAGTAAGAGATCCCTTCCACAGAAATTGGGCTGGATTGCTCTGTTGATCCCTTTCCTATTTTGCTGGTGACTAGGGAGAACATATGCACTCTCTCCAGAAGTATCAAGACAAAGGGTGTAGTGGTTCCTGACCAACACTCCTAACCTCTTTCATTCTTTCTGTTCCTTCCTAACAAAATATAAGTGTCAGATAAGAGGGTGTGGGTGGGTGGAAAGAGAACCACTCAGCTGCCTCAGAGATAAATATATGGCAAATTGTTTCCTCCCCCACCCTCCTGAACTTCTTTCCTTTTGGCTCCAATGCGTGTGACTTTTTCTCATACAATATCCCTTCTAGAATTCATGGTTGCAATTTAGGCTATAAGTAAAAAGAGACTACCCAAGCTAACAAAGAACAGATAAAAAAGAATATCTAAAAGTCTAGCCGAAACTACTAAAAAATTAGAATGAAATTTTAGGTCAAAGTCCCAGTTAGTAACTGCTTTGTTTGCTATTATTCCTTGTACATATCTTCCCCTTGGTATCCTTTGAGGAAAAGTGTTGATTATGCCAAAGCAGATTTCAAATAATCTTGGATGTTAGCAAAATCAATAATAATCTAGATTTAGCTTCTATATTTCCCTGAAAGCCATTATAATAATACACAAGTTTCCTTAAAATATAGAATTATGGTGGTCATATTACCACCATAATTCTATATTTGTGTCAGACTATTCTATAAGAGGTGCAACCATCATTTGACCAATAACTGTAAGTCATATATGAAAATAATATTTCTAGTGATTATTTTAGATCCTTAATTTTTTTCCATTCTGAACAAGTTCAGAGTCCTTCCTCTTAGCTCCCTCTTTATGGTTCTGCATCTCATTTAAAGTTTATTCTTGCATCATAAACTGGTGTTTCTATGAACTCTGGCTTTGATGCACAACATTTATTGAGTGAATGCAACTTGAACTCACTCCTCTGGCTCTTTCCATGAATATAAGAAATTATAAACCCTTTATACAAAACTCTTCATCCCAAAATAGAAGCAGATTTAACCATTGAACACTTTTACTAAATACTAAAACTTGAATTCTGTCTTGACTAATCCTTTTTCATTACTTTGATAATGTCATCTTTTTGTAAAATGAACTCCTAATATTAAATAGCAATCTTTTCTCACCTCCTCCCTTTTACCTACTCCTTAACTCAAAGTTCTTGGATCCTAGGTTCTCTCTTAAGCATTGTAGGTTATCAATTATCTCAGTATAGTTTTTAATAAAGACTGGATATATGAGCAATAAAAACAGTTAAAGAATAAGTGAGCTGAAGAGGGGAGTACTAATAAAACTAGCAGAAGATGAATCAACAATTTTATACAAAGTATTTGGAGATAAATATTATAATTAAAATTCATTTCAATTACTTTAAGAAATTAAGCTGAAGATAACTTCTATAATGTTCTATTAATGATAGATATACACAATGAAAAAGCATTTATTTATATTTTATAAGTATTTATAAAATATAAATAAATAGTTGTTAATAAAAACGACAATAATAATGTTAGCATCAATTACACCAATGAACTTTAGAAATTTCTCAAAATAATATATTTTACCAAAATATTCATAACATTCAAAACACTTCTAAATCCCAATATATAATGATATATTCTATATAACTGCATATATATTATATAATATCCTATCTAATAAAGATGGAATATGCTAATTAACCCTCACGCTGTCCAAAGATGGCACCACCCACAGCCAATAAGGAGGAAATATGCTAATTGTCCCGCCATAAAAGATGCTCATAGCCCAGCCAGTAAGGAGGGAATATGCTAATTGACTGCCACACCTTCAAAGAAGATGGTATCCAAAGCCACAAGATGGCTGAGCCCAGTCCCCTCAGTCCTGCCAGGGCAGCAGGCGCACGGCAAGGCCATTCTGTGACCTGTCTTCAGAGTCCCCCATTCCCGTAAGCCCTCCAGCCACCAAGGGCTGGCCTGAGGTGCAGGCAAGCCTTGAATGGCGGCTGCCCAGCTGCCCAGGGCTGCCTGAGGCTCAGGTAACCAGGGCTGGCCAAGGACTGTGCTGCCAGCAGTGGTAGCAGCAGAAGTGTGAATAGGTGTCGCCTTCCCCTGATCACCAATCACCTCCTGCCCCTGTGAGAGGAGGCAGGCCAGATTGAAGGATCCACCTCAGAGCATAAATTTTTGTGCACCAAGCCTCTAGTAATCTTTATAATATGAATATTTTACTCCTGTTGATGCCCATAATAGTCACTTGCCATAACATAACCTACATCTATGTATATGGATATATGTAATATATGGATATGTGTGTATGTATATATACACATCTTTGTGTATGAGTCTTTCTAAATTGGTTATCATCAATATCCAAATTGGTTATAATATTCAGTGAAAGACTCTTCAGTTTAAAGCATATAAAAAGCAAGTGTCATGCCTAAAATAAGTAAGTTTATATTCTATTATACATAGAGGGCCAAAAGACACTTCACATGAACTTTATAGTTTAATAAAGCATACTATCATCTGAGTCAAATTAATGTAGTTAGCATTGAGTGCTCATGAGGGAAAAGTTTTGAGTAGGATGCTTTTGCCTTTTAAAACTATGTTTTTATTAAATGAATAACTTGTGAGATTTAAGGGCTTGAGGATATCTCTCTGTTATATTTAGAACACATGCCCTCAATTCCATTAAATCAGACGAATGACAGCCTGGACCTTTTGATAGACCCTCCCAATAATGTTAGTATAATAAAAATATTTGTAGCTCAGGCCACTTAGGAAAAGTCCACATCTAAACAAGTTTATCACACAGTTGCTTTACACATTATGAAAAGTTCATCTTTGTTAATTATACTACAATATTGTCTTCATTTCTACTATTACCTAATGCCCAATTCAAAACCAAAAGCATAAACTCTGGTGTCAGGAGATCTGAAGATAAGTCCCAGCAATATTATTTAATTGTGTAGCTTTGGTAAATTAACAAACTCCTCCTAGACTTAGTTTTTCTGTTTATAAAAATGAGATAAAAAAATACCAACCTTACAGTATTGTGGAAAATAAAGTACATATCACAGGAAATATATCTAGCGCGGTGCCCGCTACACAGCAAGCATTCAATAAATATGTTTCTATTTCCACTTTGTCCTCAAAGCAGTACATAATTTAGAATCAAATAGTGAATTAATATTATGCGGAATTATAAGCCTTTAATAAACTAAATATTTATATTTTAAACTACTAAGAAGTAATTTTATACTATTATTAACATCTACTTATAATTCACAACAGTAATACATACACAAAGCATACATTATAAAATGGTTGTGATAAATGTAATTAATATATCACAAAATTACTTTTGTACTACATTATTATATGACTTTTCTCATATTAAGAAAATCACAAGAAGAATATTAACAATATGATACAATATATTTTTCTTAAAATGTTACAAAAATTATACTATCTTCAATAAAAATATTTAAAAGAAAAGTAATAAATTCATTCAACTTACATGTTTCCTTCGTGCAGGCTTTCTTGTTTTAATTGTTTCAGGCTTAATAAGATCCTTAAAAATCTTATCTTCATAACTTTTGTGTTTGTCAGCCCATTTTTTTTTACATTCTCTAATAAATTTTTCTTTACGTTTTCTATACAAAGACACAAGGCTGAATAATAAAGGAGGAACATAATCATTTAATATTTTAACCAAAATAAAAAGAATGAAAATACATCTTAGAAAACATGGTGGTAAATTTAATGTAATGTTTATTTTAATAATACATTAAACTATTTAGGCACTAAGATTTTTCACCAACATTTATTATGAGATAAATGAGTGATGAGAAATCTGTAGTGATTTGAATCCATAAACAATTATATCCTACTCTGCATTTTATGATCTAACTAGAGGCCCAATACATGAAATTCATACAAGAGTACGCCCTCTCAGCTGCGTCTGCCTAGGCCCTCACAACCCCTAATGCCTTGCAGCCCCATCCCCCACCACTGGTCTTTCCAGAAGGTCCTCTGGAAGGTCGTTCTGGAAGTTTGTTCTGCCATCCGGTCTAATTAGCTCTTTATTATATAGAATGGCAGAAAGAACATGGCTAAATTATCCAGAAAAATATAAAGTAACTTATCTTTATTTTTTCCAGTGAAGAAGTTATTTTCATTTCCATTTAGGAGAATTACTATAGAGTAGAAGTGTTCTACAGAATATATTGTAAGCCACAAAATAATTTTAAATTTTCTATAAGTCCCACTTTAAAAAGTTGTAAGAAATAAGTGAGGCTAACTTTAATCTTATGGTTTATGTAAATATTACCTGATAAATTGATTAAGCAAACCAATATCATAATAAGTAGTGAAGATTTTTAATGTTATAAGCTTCCAGCCTTTTGCAAAAATTTTTTCTCTGATCCTAAAAGAGTTCTTCTTAGCTGTCTTTTCTCCTGGTTCTCTTTGGTCAACCTAAAGATAGTTTACAGTTCTCTTAACTATCCTATCTAATAAAGAGGAAATATGCTAATTGACCATCAAATCCTTACAAAGCTGGCAGGACCCACAGCCAATGAGGAGGGATTATGCTAATTGACTGCCACACCCTCAAAGATGGTGGTGCCCACAGCCACAAGATGGTGGCACCCAGTCCTTTCAGCTCCACCAGGGACTGGGCACCAGGAACTGAGTCCCCTAATCCCTTCAGCTCCCCCAGCTGCCTAGGACCAGCCTGAGGCACAGGCAAGGCTCGGATAATGGCTACCCAGCCACCCAGGGCCAGCCCGAAGCTTAGGTAACCAGGGCCGGCCAAGGCTTGCAATGCTGGCAGTGACAACAGCAGAGGTGTGATGGGGGCATTGCCTTTTCTGATGGCCAGTTTGCCTCCCACCCCTGAGGGCTCCTAGACTGTGAGAGGGGGCAGGCCGGGCTGAGGGACCCCCACTCCACTGCATGAATTTCCATGCACTGGGCCTCTAGTGTATACTATAATTATACTTGTTCTCTACTTGCTGAGAGCACTGGTGATCAGCATTCTACTATTCTCTACCTTTTGAACTTGGTGAGAGCTTCTACCCTACAAGTAAGGGCTGAGAAGAGGAGGAGAGCCCAAGACCTCTAAGCTACTCTTGCCTACATTAGATTTTCTAAGATATTTTTCAATTTACTTTTTTAAAGGATCAGATATAGAGAAATTTCTCAAAATATTTTTGAAAACCATAGAGAAATCAGCTGGCAATTAGTGGAGGCTAATAACAAAGGTTTCAAAGAGCTTAACAGAGAAATCAGAAAAAAAGATAGTCAAAGAGAGCACTGCTACAACTACTATCACCCCACGGGTGGCTGCGCCTGGCCAAGGGTGTGCACGCTAAGAAGCAGTATCACAGGCTGCTCAGTGTGGGGGGAAATAGACTTCACTAAAATAGTCCACCTAGTCATTAAATAAATTAACAAGCAAAAAACGAGTCCTGGGTGAAGAGATCAGTATCCAGAGTTGTTACAATATGCTATCTAAAATGTCCAGTTTTCAACAAAAAAAAACGATGACAGGCAAAGCAAAAGTGTAAACTAGACAGATAAAAAGAGCAGGCCTTTGGAACTGCTTTTGAAAGGGCACAGATGACAGACAAAACATATAAAGGCTTCAAAGTAGCTATTATAAATATAATTAAAGGAAGTAAACCTTAAATAAGTAAAGAGAGGTATAATAATTATGTCTTCTCAAATACAGATTATCCAGTCACAGAAATTACTAAATAAGAACCAAATGAAAAGTCTGCGATTAAAAAGTATAATAACTAAAAATGTTTGAGTAAGTAATTCAATAACAGATTTTAATTGGTAGAGAGAAATCAGAAATTTTGAAAAGGTTGATAAAATTTATGCTGACAGAGAGAAAAATATTGAAGACAACTTATTAGACCCACAAGGAAATGCGAAGTATCATTAAGTCCACCAGCATAGGAATAATGAAAGTAACAGATAAAATAAGAGAGAAGAAAATAATAAATATTTTAGAACCAATGTCTAAAACTGACTGAAATCTAAAGAAAACATTAATCTATAAATCTAAGGGCTCAACAAATTATAAAAAGTATCCAGACCCCTTCATAGTAAAAACTATTAAAATCCAAAAACAAAGAAAGGAAATTTTGAAAAGAGCAAGAGAAAAATGACTAGTTCTTAGTTATTCTGTTAAATATGATAATCAGATCCAATTATTAAAGCTCCAGTTCAGGCATGATCTCCTAAAAGTACTCTCTGACATTTCATAAGTAACGTTAATGACATCTACATCCAGTCTACTCCAAGAAAATGATTCATTATAATGAGACTTTCTGATTTTGTTTAATAAACTGTCCTCTGAAGTAGGCAGTCAAAATTCATAGGTCACAGACACAAAGGTGGCTGTTAGAGTAGCTTAAATGCAAGCGCCACGTGTTGCATGTGATTTGTTTTGAACTATATATATTTCAAGGAGACTTGTTTCTGGAATGGTAACAAAGGCTGAAGAGAGTCAGAACTGTCCTCATCTGAAAGAGAAGGCAGAAGGAGTGATCCTGCCATGAGAGCTTAAATCATCAGGGCATGGTCCCCAGGAAACAAGACTATTATTACATTTCCTGAATTTTGTTTATGGATATGCTGCTCCTGCCCCAAGTGCAGGAAGAACCACACAAGGTTAGAATGAGTCTATTCACCTCTGTATGCCATTAGTTTGCTAATGAATCTAATGAAGACAAGAAGATGGCACTAAAGCTTGTTTGTGTGTGTATGAAGAAGCTCACTCATTTTGAACAAAAACAATCATACAAAATATTCTGCTTCAAAAATGAAAAACTAGTTTCTAAAAAGACTAAGGCATGTCTATTTTTTTTATTCTGAGTTTCAAAAAAATCAAAGCATTCTGTAAAGTGTTAGTAAAATTAAAATTATTCTGTGTAAACTTAAAAAAAATAAATGATACAGTCTAATTCTGACAAGTAAAGTAGAGGCATTATTAAACTCAGAAAGGTATTATAAGACCAGATACAATTTATTTTATTTGTTAAATTATTAAATTGCTTACACAATCATAAAATATTTTCAGTCATTTAATAATATTTCAACAAAGATTATATTTTTGTTTAGCAAATAGTAGAGGAAAGCACATCTGTGTTCCAAAAGAGTATTAAACTTAATTTTAAAGCTGCAAATTTTAGATAACACTAGCTTGAATCTGTACCTTGTCTTTACAGATTATGATTAACTACCCAAACCATATGCAAAGATAGATTTTATTTTAAATTACTTATACCTGGCAAATTCACCTTACTCAAATATTTTCATAGGAATGTTTATCTAAACATATCATTAAAATAGATTTACTTTTGCCGAAACCGGTTTGGCTCAGTGGATAGAGCATCGGCCTGCGATCTGAAAGGTCCCAGGTTCGATTCCAGTCAAGGGCATGTACCTTGGTTGCAGGCACATCCCCAGTACGGGGTGTGCAAGAGGCAACTGATCGATGATTCTCTCTCATCGATGTTTATAACTCTCTATCCCTCTCTCTTCCTGTCTGTAAAAAAACAATAAAATATATATTTTTAAAAAGTTTAAAATAGATTTACTTTGAAAGAAATGTGTGCTACTTCTATTTCGATATACTTAATTTCTTAGGTAGGAATTAACTTAATCTTTATTATATATAAATAATGTAGTCACTATTGAACAAGATCAGCATTCAAAATTACGTAATTTACTATAAAAATAATAGATATTATAATATCCTTTTCATAATTCCAAAATAAGGACTCAAAATGTACACTGCATGTAACAGCCAATTACCATCCAAATAAAAGATGTATTACTGAAAAGTTGCCTCTAATGCTTTTATATTATAAAATCACATTGGGTACATTATAAAATTCTAATAAAGAAAATCTTTTATGTGAATAATTTGAAATGAGGCTAGTAATATCCTGCATCATATACATTTTGACATTCCTATGTTGAGTATTATTTGATAATTCATACCCATTTAAAAACTAGTAGAGGTTTAATAGTATATATATATATATATATATATATATATATATATATATATAAAAGAATGCATTCATAGATGCTAATGTTCAAAGATTTTGTCTTAGAAGCAACTATGACCTATCTATTCTTTACCCTTTCAGGAGACCTTCAGGTTAGTAAATCTTTTATTGATGTATGTATGTATATATGTATGTATCTTTATTGTTGAAAATAATACATATGTACCTTTTGTTCCTCTTTGACATCTTCTAGCCTCCCCACCCTGTCCCAGGCCTTCACTATACTATTCTATTGTCTGTGTCCATGAGTTATGCATATATGCATATAAGTTCTTTGATTAATCACTCCCCACCCAACCTCCCACCCCCATCTTCCCTCTGAGATTCATCAGTCTGTTCCATGTTTCTATGTATCTGGAACTATTTTGTTCATAAGTTTATTTTTTTTCTTCAGGTTCCACATATGAGTAAGATCATATGATACTTGTCTTTCTCTTACTGACTTATTTTGCTTAGCACAATAATCTCCAGGTCATAAATCTTGTTTGTTCTCTTTTCCTCTTAGTAAGTTGTCCTTAAGTTTGATGAACCAACTGGTAGCTCAGTTGCAACCTACAGTCAAATTCCCTAGATTATAATCA